TGCCGGGGGGGGGGGGGGACTATTGGTCCGTTTACTGTCTTCATCCCAAAGGTTGACCTTGTAATTATATGGTCAAGCGCATCTTAAATGTGTATAAACATATATATGGCTTACTTATATATATATATATATATATATATATATATAAGTTAGGATCTTTATTAAACCCGAACAAATGGCACGTACACGGTATAGATCATTTTTCAGTGATGTGTTAATGTCAGAGGTGTAAATATATAATTTTTTAGCTAAAAATAATTATAATGCACCCTAGCTATATATATCACTAGCATGACACTGAAAAATTAGGGTTTGTACGTATAGATTGTCGTAATATTTTATTCGCAAAACATAAAGCAAAAATATTACAAGTTGGAGAGAACTTACTATATAAGTATTGACCCCCAATAGTTGACGTTAAAAGTATATTAATTTATCAGCCAAATTATTTAAAAGCATGCATGATATAGTGCTATCGTTACCGTAGTTAGATAATTAGTCCATTCACTTATATAATTTGATCCAAAAATAATTTACAATTGGTGATATTGAATTGAGTAAACTACAACTTGACATACAAGTTGCATTAAAAACAAAAATACACATATTCACACGCCATACGTACCACGACCGGTTGAACAAGAAAATTGCGATGTGGAGACTAAGTCAACGTGACTAGGTCAAGCTGGTCAAAGCGACCGATCCATGCAAAATGATCACGTGAGATTTCGATCGTACAAAAAAAAACAGTGCATATAGCTATTAGATTAAAATTATATATTTTATTCCTATACATATAATATATTTCTAAACTTTTCAAACTTTAAAATGTTTTAGTTATTTTTTAACCATGGTTAACGGACCCAAACCATATATTTTGTTAAAAAGGGAACCCTAATTTATCTAGGCTTTGGTGTGCAAAGTTCTTCCGAACACGAGCACGACCAGAGAGGAGAATATGCGAATTGGTGGGTCCATGGGGATCGAATATTCTGCCACGTGGTCGCGATTATCACTGGTTGGGCCGATTACTCGTGCCCGGCCATCATCCGCCGCCGACCGAAGATTAAAACCGAGTAGGATTTGGGTCATTGGGATGACGTCATCTGCTTACGAACTCTTAGGGGAGTATAAATTAATGTTTTAAATTTTTGTTCATATAGAAAGGAAAGCAACGAAATCATAGCATAATGGTTGTCATATATAATCTAAAATTTTACAAAATATTTAATATTTGCATAGGAAAGGTGCAACGACATAAAGCTCCAACTAAACGGACCACAAGCACAAGGTGTATATATATATTTCTCAGCATAAAGGATGATTGTATGGAGTGATGTAGAGGATGGGTTTGAAGGGATTTACTTAGATTTTTTTTTTTTTTTTTTTTGCACAGAATGTTTATATATATATTTTTCGAAGTGGTTATGCATATTCATTCCAAAAAAAAAAAACTTTAGCGTATATATGCATAATACATGCATGCTAATTGGGCGCACTCCATTGGAAGCAAGTAACATCAGCGGTGAAAATCGAAAGAGTTGCGTGGAAAAACAACTTTTTCCTAATTTTCAAGACTTGTTTATGATAAAAATATATATATATATTAGCATGTCGTTAGCAAATGGATGTTTTATTAATCGAAGAAGCTTCGTTGTATCTATTTGGGGAAGTAACCATGAAAGTCTTAGTTAGTTTAATTATTATACATGTTTTTTTCTTCTTCTAAATAGTATTTTCCTTAATTAGATTTTGTGATATAAATAACAGTATCTCTTGAGCGAGATCCTCCCCTCTTCTCCTCTTTGCCTTGAAGTCTCCTGACTATTCCCTTCTAAGACATGAACTTCCCTTCGAGCCCTAACCCTAATTTCACCGAATTAGACGAAATTTTCAACTTCGATCTTGATTTTTCAAGTGTTTCCGATGTTTTACAGATGATCGGAGACGAAATCAACCGCGAGGACTCACCCTCGTCCACTTGGAGTATAAACTCGTCGGAGAAAGTCCCTCCTAACGGTGCAAGTCCACCGGCAAGCATGGCTACTTCATTTACCGGCCTTGAAATGCAAGTTGCATTTACATATGTATATATATATATATATATATATATATATATATATATATATAAACATCTATGTATGTGTTGATCATGTGCATCTGTGATGATCTCTCTACATACGATAATGGGTGAAATTGATGAATGCACCCATTTTGATGAATTGAGATGAAAGACTCTCTTATAGGAGTTGAAAAAAAAAACAAATATTAATTCACTTAATTTAGAATGCAGATATGACGTTTTCCCGTTGAACGACACAAATTCAACCATGTATCTTCAAAAGATCATTGTCCAAATGAACATAAAGTCTAATTGTATAGTCTACATATATATATATATATATATGTGTGTGTATATATATATGTATAGCTCTACTCGTCCTCTTGGTAATCAATCAATTGTTCTAGCAATCTTGTCATGGTGGTCATATAGGATACAGGAGATTATTTGTCCTACTTAGTGATTTTATAACTATATATAAACAGGCAAATCATGTGCGTTTACAAGTTGATTAGTGAAAAGGAGTGGATTAAATAAATGGACTAATCAAAACCTAAATGAACAAATCACTTAAGGACAACATGTAATTGTTTTCGTATTAAAAAAGGTGTTTGTATGCTAAATATATACGTCCACTTATCATAAGTTGTATAATGTTACTGTTGATGATCATATATGGCTGTTGAATACCTTTCATGCCCAAAACTAATAAGCTAGTGGACGACTGTCTGTTTTTTTATTAATGAAACAATTGGATACAAAACATACGTTATTGACCGATAATCCGATTTCGACAGGCACTATCACAAGTGTTCGAACCCGAATTGCAGCGTGAAGAAGAGAATAGAAAAAGACACGGCAAATCCAGATTACGTACTGACAACGTACGAAGGAAAACACAACCACGGAAGCCCTTCCGTGGTGTACTGTGACCCCGACGACGAAATCGAGTTCACGTCTCGAAACAGTTGGCGCTTTCAGAACAACTCCAGTCTCTCTCGTTCTGCTCCATGACCCCACACGTACGTGTGAATATAAATCTAAATCAATGTTAATTACGCTTTTTTTTAATGTATAGATAATCGTATATGGTTACAGTACGTCTTCATGAAATCGGTACCAAGTTGTTAGGGTACGTATATATGGTATAGTCTTGCTGGTCCGTCTGTGGAAAGGTGGCACCGAAAGTAACAAGCTTTTGTGTGATGATGATGCTTCGCTAGTTGTTTATAGAACGTTCAAACTTCAAAGGGCTCTAATGTCGTATTTCAGTACGAATTAATGGGCCGGGCCGAACGAAAATCTGTAAACCTAAAGCCCAATATAGTTGGGCCTTTCTAGTATCCAGTTATGTTCCACAGAGTATTTTACGCGCATCTGTGTCAGAAAACTTCGTAACGTGAGTAACTATTTTTTTTTCCAACAGTTTAAATTATGTAATAAAAATGATTAATTAGTTACAAAAACGTTGCCGTTTTACGTTACATGCTTGTTAAGTAGTTCTAAAATATCAATTACGGTCGATTTTTTATTTTTTTGTATAAAATTTAGAAACAACAGACAGAATCAGATACGGGTGATCGCAGTAAATATTTTAAAAGAGCATATAAAAGCACAGGTTCCTGACCTTTTTTTTTAAAAAATAATAATAAAAAAGAAGAATTTTAAAAAATGTATTTTAAATTTTAATCATGGATAGCTATGCTACCTGTCAACGACCAACGAAGAGAACCGATGTGGAGGACATCTTATCCCTACATGTCGACGAACCATGTTGTACGATTAAATATATAGTATGATTCTAATTAATAGGAGTTAAGTAAGAGATGCCCTAGCAAGTCCATTTATAAACCAAAAAAATTATAGTTTTTTTAATAAATAATTTACGAAATAAAAAAAAGGGTCGAATTCGTCTCTAACAATTGCTTTTGGGTTTTGGTTGGCAAAGGATTCACATGGCTTCCCCTCGCATCACCCAAAATTACAAAACAACACACGAAAATGACGCAAACTCTACCAATAAATAAATACAATTTTTTTATTTTCATTTAGAGGAAAGATCAGGAACAATCATCGTCTCTGTCCGAATCCAGAAAGAAACATTTCCTGGAGGAACCAAAAACCCAACAACAACAACAAAAAAGGTTCCTCTTTTGTTTTGCTTCATCTTTTTGGATTTGGTTTTCAGGACGATGGATTCCATCAAGAACAGAACATTGCTCAAGGTTATCGTCCTCGGCGACAGCGGGTAAAAGTTGCCGTCTTTCTCCGATTTTCATGATCTTTTCATGATTTTTGCTTATAACTTTCTCCTGGGTAACCATCGAAATCGAGGGTTATCATTCGATCTCCAAAAATTTTCATCTTTTTTTTCCTTCTTATTCTGTTCTGTTCTTCTTGATCTTTCTGCAGCGTTGGGAAGACATCTTTGATGAACCAGTATCCTCTAATGGCAGAACCTCTTTGAAGTTTTCCCTGTTTTGTCTCATCTGATTTCCCAAACATTTCAAAATTCTCGCATCTCCTGTTTCAAATGAAAATTCATTGCCTTTTTAACAATCTACTGTTCAAGTGCAAAGCTCTACGTTGATCTCGGTTTCTGCAGACATTCAATCGCCTTGTAAAACCCTTAACTTGTGACCCAAGGTACGTGTATAAAAGGTTTAACCGGCAATATAAAGCCACCATCGGAGCGGATTTCGTCACCAAGGAGCTGCATATAGGAGAAAAGTTCGCCACTTTGCAAGTAAAATCATCATCCTCTCATGTTCCCCTGAAACATTACACCAGCACTTTTTTTTTTTTTTGGTTGTTGGGTTCTTTGCTTTCATGTTCTGTCTTTGTTTATGTAACAACGGCATGTATCCAATGTATGGAACACAGATTTGGGACACAGCCGGACAAGAAAGGTTCCACAGTTTAGGTTCTGCATTCTACAGAGGCGCCGATTGCTGCGTTCTTTCATACGATGTGAATACCCTTAGAACGTTCGAATCCCTCAACAACTGGCACGAAGAATTTCTCAAGCAGGTATTTTCAGATCTTTTTCAGAGATAGGTTTCTTGATGACTAAGTCATAGTTAACATTTTACTTCGTCTGGTTTATAACAGGCAAATCCTATCGAACCCGAGACGTTTCCCTTTGTTTTGATCGGGAATAAGATCGATGTAGACGGCGGAAACAGTAGAGTGGTACTCGAGAACTATCCCCTCATGAATCTCTCTTTCAGATTTCCAGATTCTGTCTCGGTCACAATCTTTCCAGATCTAAACGGATTCAAGAACTCGCCGAATTCCTGCAGGTTGCAGAGAAGAGAGCCAGGGAATGGTGTGTCTCGAAGGGCAACATCCCATACTACGAGACCTCGGCCAAGGAAAATACCAATGTCGATGATGCTTTTCTGGGGATTGCAGACAGAGCTCTCGCCAACGAACGTCAACAAGACAACATGTGAGAACACATATATATATATATATATATTATACGAAACGTAGTTGTTTTTTCCAGTTCTTTTGTCTTGTTTATTACATATTTCAATTTTGTCTTGTGCAGATATTTCAGAGACATGTCTGAATCTGTTTCAGAAATGATCGAGCAGCGGAACGGAGGCTGTGCTTGCTGAATCTTTTTTCTGATCCAAAAACTGAGTCCCCTCTGTTTTTACTCCCAAGTGCCTTTGCCTCTTCTTATGTTTTCCTTTTACTATTTACTTTTTTACCTTATAGGGTTTGTTTTCTTTGTATTTGCAATGCTCTAATATGTTGTAGTACTCTAACGATGGTGGTGAAACGAGAAAAAGAAATTACGGGTCGGGCCCATAGAAACGAGATATGTCTTAACTGATTATAATTTTTTTTTATCTTGACAAAAGAATAATATTTTTTTTGGGGGAAAAAGAGAGCCGATCGAAGAAATCTCAGCCGTTGATCTATCATTCTGAGGTTAATTATTTACCGCAGCTGTAAAAGCGTTAGTTTTTACTACGTACCTCTTAAATTGCTTGCGGATCTTTCAACTCTGCGCGAACCCTAGTCTCCTGAAACCAAACAACTTCGATCAAAACATGGCGCTTGCTTCTCGTTTCCTCTCCAGATCCAAGCAGGTTTGTTTTCTCTCGCTCGATTCCCTAGATTCCTTCAAGCACATCGGCTTCATTCAGTGATCTTGCTGTTTGCGTTTTCTCTCTCTCCCTCTCCGATTTGATTTCCCACGTTTCACGTGCTGATTCTGGTCGATTCTTTTTGTGTTCTCTCGGATGCTGATTTTAAGCCAACTCGTATACAATTTCGATAGGAGAGTTTCTCGGGGCAAATTGAATGATATCTTGCTGCCAGTGTTGTATGTATGGAGGGGGTTTTACGGGGATTTTTATTCCTTCCGAGCTGTCAATGAATTCACCTAAGTAGCATAATCCGAAAATTATGAGTGTAAACGGTGAAAAGATTGGAACTTTATTAGCTGATTAATGTTTGCGAACAGGATGAGTTGGTGACCGTACTTCTCTGTTATTCTGTATGCTCATATTCAACATCTTACTCTTCTATGATTATGCAGCTCCATGGCAGTGTGGTCGCTTTGCAGCAGCAGCATGCTATTTCGGTTCGTTCCTTCGCCAAGGAAACTGGAGCTGCTCGCCCTACATTTAAAGGAGACGGTTGGCGGATAAACTGGATTAATTGATTTGAACAGAATATTATGCATGTCATTTAGTTTATATTTTTTCTGAGCTTGCTGCAAATAATTTCCCTTGCATTTCATGTCGGAATTATGTCCTCATGTGTGAGAGGTTGTTTTGGTTTTGTCTTCTGAATAGAGATGTTGAAGGAGGTCTTCATGGAGATCAAGACCAAATTTCTGGCTGCAGTTGATGTTCTTCGCAAGGAAAAGATCACCATTAATCCAGATGACCCGGCTGCTGTACGGCAGTATGCAAATGTCATGAAGACAATCAGAAAAAAGTAGGACTCTTGCAGCTGTTCGGCTTTAAATGGTTCTTGTTATGTTATAACGTATTTTAGATTATTGGTTTCGCGTTCAATTTTCCATAAACTACGTCTATGTAAGAGTATGATTTTATTATATGTTGATTTGGTTGTTTATTATCCTTTTACGCGATATGCAGAGCAGACATGTTCTCAGAATCTCAACGAATTCAGTATGACATTGACATAGAGACTAAGGAGATTCCAGATGCCCGTGAATACTTGTTGAAGTTGCAGGAGATTCGCGAGAGGTAGGTGTTTTGAGTCAATCTATTAGAGGTTTTCCCTTGCCACTGAAGTTGCTCTTTTGTTTCATTCTACCATAACTGGCAACAAATAAACTGTCTATATTGTAATAACTTGCCATAGGTCCTGTAATATCCATCGTCGAAGAAAATGTTTTGATATTGAATATCTTTTCGGTTCTTTCCCTTCTCACATATAGTTTGAACGTATCCTACAATTGTTAGATATGAGCTGTATTTTTGTGCTGAATGTTAAGCTTTTGGGGTCACTTTTCTATTTATGGCTTATTTTCTACAGGAAGGGCCTTACTGATGAGCTTGGTGCCGAGGCTATGATGTTTGAGGCTCTCGACAAAGTCGAAAAGGAAATAAAAAAGCCTCTTATGAGGGACGATAAGAAAGGAATGGCTCTTTTGATGGCAGAATTTGACAAGATCAACAAGAAGTAAGCATTTCTCGCATAAAAAAGAAAAATAAAAGCAACCTCTTACTCCTTTCTAATTTGCCTTGGTGGGTCCTTCACGTGGGACACATTTTGTCATTATATGGCATCTGCTGTGATATATCTTCCGTTGATGCTTTGCTTGGACCTGTCAGCCAGATGTTTAGCTGGCTGATGGGAACTGGGTTCTTGTGGTCCGGAAGATCTATAGGTTTTCCTATTGCTGTAGCTAATGAAATAAGATGATGCCGTTCATGCATGATTAGGATTATGATATGCAAAATCCCAATGGCCCATAAGATGGTCAGTGCAAACGACATATTTTGCTTGAAAAGTGTTAGGCTCGCACATTGGCTGCTTTGCTAGTGTTAGTTTACTTTTCCACTCATGTAGAGGTGAAGGGTTGGCATGATTGAACCGTTATCACTAATTCCTGTTCGAAAGGTTGTTCTTTGAGTAATTTTTTTTTTTTGCATCCCATTTGTGCAGGCTTGGAATCCGAAAAGAAGATCTTCCTAAATATGAGGAAGAGTTGGAACTCAAAATCGCCAAAGTGCAGTTAGAGGAGCTGAAGAGTGAGGCTCTGGAAGCCATGGAAGCTCAGAAAAAGAAGTAAGTTGCTCGCCCTTGTTCCTGTCTCGCTTGATCTACACTACACATGGTTTAGAATCCTATGTTGAACCCTTCTCTATCCCCAAAAATTTCAGGGAGGAATTCCAAGACGAGGCTATGCCGGATGTGAAATCCTTGGACATCCGTAACTTCATATGAAGGTGTTATGGCCTGTGTCATTTTGATTTTGTTTTAAAGCTGTTGACTCACTCAGAAGGCAAAACGATCCTCCTGTCTGTCTGTATTCAATGGGAAGATCGGCCCTCTGCTATTTTGCTTTGGTAATTAATAAGGTAACCCTGGATTGAATGGGGTTGCTTGCTCTCTCCTGTTTACACACTTTGCCTTGTTTGACAGTTCAATCTGCACAATTCTTTCCAGTGTGGACAGTTTCCTGCAATGAAAATCATGTGCTGCGTTTTGATGTGTCGTTACCGTTATTTGTTCTTTCGAGTTTAGTTTCGGAACCCAAGAGAACAAAAGTGCTTCTTATGACAATGGGTGTAAATCGGGAAGGATTTGGGAGAAGGAAAACCTACGCTAGTTAGATTCCGCGTGATTCTGGGCATTTCTATTACATTCCAAGTTCAAGGGACACGAAGTGGTTTACCATCGGCCAATCAGAACTGAACACTTGGCAGACATCCCTGTGCACAAATGCTCCGCGCGATCTTCTCTGTCTCACAGCGGTCGGTGTAGATCCGTTCTCTCATGGCCATGTCTTTCGACGTATCTTCTCTTCTCAAGCCGGAACCTGGTTTTCTCTCCAACCGCCGATTCTTCTCCCGTCGACCGGTTTTCTTGCCGGTTAATTTTTTCTGGGAGCCTCCTCTCTCCTTGGAACAAACTCCGATTTCCCGCCGGAGAGTGGTTTTCCGGACAAGAACTGTCGTCTCCGCGGTTTCGGAGACGGCGGAGAGTACGGCGAGGGAGCAGCGTGAGCCGCCGGTGAGAATTGTGGGTCTTGTGGGAGAAGGAGCCGTCAGTCCGCTGAAATCCGCAGCATGGGAGGAGGTTATGCTCCACACTGTAAGTGTTTCTCTCTTCTTTTGGGCGTTTCTTCCGTAAATGCATTTGCTTCACGCCGCCCATGGAAACTTAGATTCTTTCGTTCGGTGCTGAAATGTCAAGTCTAGACAAGTAGGAACTCACAGTTGTATGTGGGGAATAGATTTCACCGTTGGAATTAACGTTGAGTATGTGAATGTTCTTGATGAAGTTCATTTGCTTTCTGTATTCTATTTCTACCACAGTAACTTAATTGACCGCCCATATTCATGAGGATATATGACTTTATCATAGATTTGGTGGTGTATACAACACCGTGAATGCGAGTCTTTAATGATGATTCTTTTTTTATAAGCAGGCAAAAAGACTGAAATGGGTTGATGAAGGGTATGAAATGACCGTCTTTAATGATGGATTATGGCGTTCGAGAGATCAAAGGGCATTGGATCTGCAACAGGACCTGAACCGGGGTGATATTTTGGTGGTTGTGGCTGTTAATAACCCAGAATCAGTGAAGTGGATTCAAGCAAACAGCGGAAACATCCCCAATATAATCTGCTTCGATTCTTCTCCAAATTTGGTGAACAAGCTTGGTGGGACTGACATGCAACTCAAGAAGAGAGAAACCAAAGCAACAGAGGTGGTAAAGACTGTGGAAGATGCATGGGGACGACGCAACTCTGACGACATACGATTCTGTCTGCTCGTTATCATCAACGCATATATAAGGCCGGTGCCCGTCTTGAAAAACTTGAGATCAAAAGGTTTCTCTACACTTGGATGCATGGTAAAGAACTGTGGACCTCAGATCATAAACTGTCTCTTGGACCCGAATTGCAGAAAAGCTCTTCAGTGTCTGAACCAGTGTAGTCCAGTGGACCAGGTCTGTAGCTACAGATGCATCGCCTCGTACGAGAGTCCGTACCTCGAGGCTTTCTCCCTATGCGTTCTGCAGAAACACAATTGCCTTGAGTTGGATGCCAAGGTCCCTGAAAAGCCACGTGTCCCTCCCATGACCAGTTTCCAAGGAAACGAACTGTGTCATGAGACAGCTGAAGATCTTTTTGTCGGATGGTTAGGGGACTTGGGTTGGAGCTGGCGAGTCACTGCGGGACAGAACCCGGCTTATGACCAGTTCCCGTGTCAGTACCAACTTTTCTACAGAGGAAAAGGAAAGACGTCGTTTTGGTATGAACCCGTATTCCAGGTCAGGACGTTTGAAGGGAATATGGTATGGAGAAGGCGAAGGTACTCAGTGAAGAGAGGGAAAACCCCCGGGACGTTCAATTTCAGTGTGTTGGACAATGGTGTGGTTTCGAACGAGTTTTGGACAATCGTAGATGTGTCTGACGATCTCGGCTGGGGTCTTTTCCATTACCATGGAGCAGCTCGTGTGGCAGGACAGTCTTACACAGGTGCCGTTCTTGTCACACCCGACGGTTCATACCCGAGGGAGAACGAAAAGGAGAGATTGCACTCTGCATTGGATAAATGCGGGATTAAGGAGTGGGAACTCTTTGTCGTCGATAATCGTTGTTGCGAGAATCCGCCATTGGGGATTCCAGAAGGTTCTAGACTGCATACCAGAATCAAGATCAAGAACCAGACTCAAAGTGCACTAGACATCTGACTCAAAGGTACAAAACAGGGGAGATAGAAAGTCTGTCTGTTCCTTACATCTCTCTGGGCCCAGGTCGGCAAACGCGTAATGTCAGTACGGTTTTCAGTCATATGCCACGGCCGGCCCCTACCGAAGCGCCAAGTCATCCGGAGTGTTCTTCTCTGCTCTCTTCTTCACACGTTTAATCCATGCTCGTGTAATGAATTGTGAAACACCTAATGTATTACAGTATTTACGAGATTTTACATACACGCTTAGTGTTTGCTGCCATTAATTTTTTTTATTTAAATTTAATGCGTTTGTTTTGGACTTTCACATTAGCTGGAGGGTATTTTCTCATTTAATGTGTTTATACAGGTAATTGTTGCGTGATGGATGCACTTCAAATGATCTTCACATCCCCCATGGGTTTACTCTGTGAGTGAGCTTTTTATAAATAGCAACTAAATTGAGCTGTTGGGTCAGTCCAAAACCATACAAATAATCATAAAGCTTCTTCCTTTGTGAACCCTCCTCAAAGGAATCCTTCTCTAATGGCTTCGCCTTCGATAGGGTTTCTTGAAATCTCCATAGCTTTCGTTTGCTTTCTCGTCTTCCATATCTTGCTCAACAAGAAACCTCATGCTTGCTTCCCCAGGAACTGGCCATTCCTAGGGATGCTTCCTGGTGTCCTTGTCGTGTTCCACCGCGTTTACGATTGGGCGGCCGATGTTCTTGAGATTTCAGACTTGACATTTACTTTCAAGGGGCCATGGTTTGCAGGAATCGACATGTTGGTCACAGTGGATCCATCCAACATTCACCACATAATGAGCTCGCATTTCAGCAATTACCCGAAGGGACCCGAGTTCAAGGAAGTGTTCGATGTTCTTGGAGACGGTATACTGAACGTGGACTCCGACCTTTGGGAGAATCTGAGGAAATCGACTCAATCGATTTTCAACCACGAAGGGTTCAAGAAATTCTCCTTCCTCGCCAACGTCAAGAAGCTCAAGACGGGTCTCTTGCCATTTCTCGACCAGGCCGCAAAGGAAAATATGGTCGTGGACGTTCAAGACGTGCTCGAGAGATACATTTTCGACACGACATGCATTACGATAGCCGGGTACGATCCCGGGTGTCTCTCCATCGAACTGCCTGAGGTCGAGTTCTACAACGCTCTGAACGATGCTGTAGAGTGCATCGTGTATAGGCATGTTAAGCCAAGATTCTTGTGGAAGATCCAAAACTGGCTCGGAGTCGGGGCGGAGGGGAAGATGAGGAGAGCTCACGCCACTTTCGACCGAATCTGTGCAAAATACGCATCTACGAAAAGAGAGGAGATACGGTCGGGGATCCATTCCAATGGCGAAGTTATGGATCTGTTGGCATTCTACATGAATTCAGACGAGTCCAAATACAAGCTCTTCGACCCATATGACAATAAATTCCAAAGAGACACCCTCTTAACGTTTATGGTAGCTGGGATGGGAGTGGGATCTACTCTTACTAGACTCTTCTGGCTTCTCTCCAAGAACCCCGAGTCTCTCGCCAAGATCCGCCAAGAAATACAAAGCAAATTGCCAAGAATGGCAAATCGCGATGATGATGGTGAGATATCGTTTGATCCAAAGGACCTGAAGAAGTTGGTGTATCTACACGGAGCAATATGCGAAACACTAAGGCTATACCCTCCGGTTCCATTCGAACGCAAGTCTCCAACCAAAGAGGACGTGTTACCGAGCGGGCACAAAGTCGGCGCCAATGAGAAAATCCTTATAATCATTTACGCGATGGGGAGAATGAAAGCGGTGTGGGGAGAAGACGCTTCGGACTTCAAACCCGAGAGATGGATCTCGGAGAGTGGAGGGCTGAAACACGAGCCTTCCTACAAGTTCTTATCGTTCAACGCCGGTCCGAGAGCTTGCTTGGGGAGGGAAATGGCCTTCACACAGCTGAAGACAGTGTTCGTGGAGATAATACGAAACTATGATATCAATGTGGTTGAAGGGCAGGAAGTGAAGTCCGTTGTTTCGGTCATTCTTCGCATACAGAATGGCCTTAGAGTCACTGTCTCTAAGAGATCGCCCTCTGTCTGATGAGTCGAGACTCGTTTGTCTTTGATGGGAAGCAAAAGCCTAAGTGTAACAATAAGATTAATGTTGCATGTGTTCAATCCAATACGTGTCTGTATTTTAGGAGAAAGCTTAATCTGTTATCTTCCGTTTTGTTTTTTTCCACTCTCTCATGAAATTTACAAAGAAAAAGGGGTCATTATACAGTTGGATTGTACGTGTGTAATTGTTGTTTGCATGAAGGAAAACTGCAGATGCCTTTCTTAGTTATATTTACAAAAAACAAAAGGCGATAAAAAAGATTTCGAGTTGGAAAATGATTCACTCCGTGGGATTATTATTTTAAAAGACAAACATTTTTGTAGTTCTTTATCGTTAAGATTTAGTATTCTGCTTAAAAATAAACTACATGTGTGTGAATAATTTCATATAATATTTGAAAATGGTATATGATTATTCGGATAACAAAATTAGATATCATCGATATCAAACATTTAGAAAACATGTTGTGTTGGTCTATTTTTAGTAGTTGCTCGTTCATCTACCGGTAAAGAGGGTTGAGGAGATTGCAAATCACGTGGAAGAAACCTGTGATTCATTAATTCATGGTCAAAAGTACCTCCACGTTAAGTTGCGGGGGAGATGGCTGTTGCAACATCTATATATATATATATATATATATATATATATATATATATTT